AAAGAAATTCCAGATCCCAATGACTGCTCCCCAGCATGCCAAACTATTACAGCAACCAGGAACCTGCTGTTATAAGAATTACTTCACTGAAAAACATCCGGAAAGACCCCTGCCCAGCTGACTGCTAGAAGGCAGACTTCCTTACCTTCAGAATCTGGTCTCCTTCTTGCAGGCCCTCCTGCTCTGCAGAGGTACCCTCCTGAATGCCAGCCACAAATATCCCAACGTCATTTCCACCAGCCAACCGGAGACCCACGCTGTCTCCCTTCTTGAACTTCACCATTTTGGTGTTAGGGCTGTCATAGGTTTGATTTCAGAAAGGGAAGATGAAAAACACTTTTTAAAATGGAGGGTTCGCATTGGAGATATTAAAGACTTAACTATTTATCTAGCTCAGAAGGGACATCACAGTCTACAAACGTTCCCTCCCAATTTTCTCATCTGTCCTCTAATTTTATCTCCCTGGGACAGTGAAAGGAATGTCTATCAGTCCACAAAGAAGGAAAACCACAGAATTTACCACATTAGCCCACCGAAGATGAGAGGATGGAATTAGGGATTAACGCAGCTATCTGATGGGAGGATGTCCTCCTGAGTCTACCCTACCCCAAGTTTAGTCAAATACAGACAGTTCAGATCCAAGGAAGCTGGTCCTAACCCAACAACAGCTGTCTAGACACCATTCAACATTACCCCTTCTCGCCCACCCCCCCGCCTGGAACAGCTGTCTAGACACCATTCAACATTACCCCTTCTCGCCCACCCCCCCACCGCAAAGCACACACGACCACCACACCCCTGCAGTCTTGACTGAAGCACTATCGTCTGGAGCTGCTTCATCTGGTTGGGAGTTAGACATCTGGACAAAGCAAATATTCAGGAGAACACACAGGAGAGGAGAAATAGATGGGTAGGTAAACAGAGTTCACCCGATCCCAGATTTTGCTTCTCTCATAAGCGACTCCTCTTCCTTATGAACATTAAGAATAAGAGTTGACAAAAGGTGGCTGAGTAGATGCAAACCCGCCATCTGGGGCGGGGCAGGAGGAAGCACACCATTGCTGTGGATTTCAGCTACGCAGATCTGCTGAATGGAAGAGGAATGGGCAGGAGAGAGAGAGAGTAATGGAAGTACATACCCATATATTGCTTCATCTTCAGGACTAGGACGAAGAAAAGTTCTTGGGGCTGTTCTGGGTTGAGGAACTGTGGATTTAAAGATTTTATTTGGTTTTATTTTATGCATATGAGATTTTTCTTCATATTCGTATATGCACCATAAGAGTGCCCAGTGCTTGTTGAGACCAGCAGAGGGCATCAGATCCCCTGGAACTGGCGTTACAGAGGGTTGGAGCTACCATAAGGATGGGAAACTCCTAACCATTGAGCCATCTCCCCAGTACCCAGGCACTGTGGATTTTAAAAGTTTAGTGTGGATTGAAGGTGTGTAGCTAAGTGTGTAGCTTTGCCTCGCATGCAGGAGGCTGTGGATTCAAGCCCCATACTGTGAACATAAATCACAGCAAAACAAGACAAAAGCCAGACCCACAGGAGCTTGTTCCTTAATATAGAGACAACAATATTCACAGGCTTCAAGTGTGCCATATGCCATGCTTTCACCATCCCACCAAACAACAGCACACACCTTTCCCTGCTCACTAGCCCACTCCCATTCCCAAGTGCTTCCCCTTTCTGAAGCTGTCCTCATTTTTATTTCTTTAAGAGACAGAGACAGAAGACAGAGACAGAGAAGGGTGGTCGTGTCGCACGCCTTTAATCCCAAGCACTTGGGAAGCAGAGACAGGTGGATCTCATTAAGTTCGAGGCCAGCCTAGTCTACAGAGTACAGGACAGCCAGGACTAATATACAGAGAAACCCTGTCCCAAAAACAAACAAAAAAATTAAATAAATAAAAATAAATAAAGGAAGGCTTAAAGACAAAGCTTAACTTGAAGACATTAGCATTCATCATAGTTTCTCAAAGTCAGAGAAAAGAAACACCCAAAACACAAGGTACATATGCACAAGGCAGTGCTCTTTATAGCCTGAAAACAATACCATGTTTGCCTACATATAAATGTTTGTAACTAGAGTTATGATGATAACTTCAGAGTGGTAGGAAAGATTAGGGTGATGATGTTGGATTTGTGGACAGAGGGCAAGAGGACTGTAACTCAAATATGTCAAAATGTGACCAATTCTGATGATATATTAAAAAGGTTGCATCCCACATTAAAAGAAAAAAATAAAGAGGGCCTGTTCCACTTTACAAATTTTAAAAATAATTCTGCTTTTATTAAAATCCACATTCTGGAAATATCAAGCACATATTTCTGAATTCAGTTCTTCAGTACCTGGTACCGGGCTGGGAACATATGCTTAGCATGAACTAGCTTTGTAAGACACACACACACGCACGCACGCACGCACGCACGCACGCACGCACGCACGCACGCACGCACGCA